ATTGTACCTCTGGGCCTTAAGTTTTGAATTAGCCTTGTGCCTACTGAATACTAAAACCCAAAATGTGGTTGTAATGTTAGGCCGCTAAACAATCATATCTGTTCGATTGTATTTAGTGTTTTATAGTAATTGTTAATAATTATTGAACCCCTTCACTTTTGGATGCATTTCCTTATTGAAATTTTTTTATAACGTGAAAAGGCATTTCAGGAACAAAGAAATAATGAAAAACTCTTGATCATTTTTTGAACATTATATTTTATTCTTTCAGTTAATCCATTAAAAAGAACTAGATGCTTGGCCCGGCCAAAAGACCGAATGACCGCCTTCAGATATTTTCTTCTGATATTCTTTTAGTAAATCATAATAAAAATATAATATTTAAGAGCTAACTTGTACATTCTTGTGGAAGAACCTCTCATTTCATCTTTGTTTGTAAGTTAAGACAATAATAATAAGAAGAATAAGAATAAGAATAAGAATAAGAATAATAATAATAATAATAATAATAATAATAATAATAATAATAATAAGAATAATAATAATAATAATAATAATAATAATTGCAAAAAAAGAATTGTTGTTTCAGGATCTTCAATGACAAAGAAACGATTTCGTTTTTTTAATAAAGAATCCAAAATCATCCATGAAAGTCACAGCTAAATCAACTTGATAAAAATAGACCAACAAAAGAAATAATTATCAATCAGAGAAAAGAAAGCGACCTAGAAAGAGAGCAACCAAAAGTAGTTTCCCAAGCCTAACTTTGAATCAAAGTAGTCCCTCAAACTGAGGCCTCAGTCCTCGATGTCAATTTTGGTTTTGTTTTTTTTTTTTTGGGGGAGGGCGAGATCGTGGCCGCCGAGCCTCCCAGATGTATTAGATATGGATTCAACTTGTCGCAATCCAGTAGCAAAAGAGTTATCAATGACTTCCTTCAAATCAATTTCATGCTCTCATCTAAGGGAAAAAAAAATAAAACATTTCAATCAGTAGATGTCTGGGATATCGCCCTTGAGGATTTAGCATAAAACATATGCAAATTTGTCACTTGTTTATGATGTTATCTTTTCGGTAAAACACCCATACAGTCATAGACTAAAATGCTCTTCTTAAGACATTAAAGCTAATTATGAAATAGGAAAATACTGGTATCTGAGTTAATACTTAATAAAATGATTCCATCATTCAAACATTACTTTAAATCACTAATCTTTACATTCCCCACAATGAAATCTGCATAAACCCTACATGAATAAAGGGCATCAAATCCGCTACCTCATTGAAGACCACTGACTCCAACTTCATCAGCAACCTTTATATTCAAAAGCAATATTTCTTCCTCCCAATGTAATGAGTTGGCGGAGGAACACATCCAAACAAAAATAACTAAACAAAATGAAATTTTAATGAATCAAGATTCCATTGTTTCAAAAATTATATATTAAAAACAAACAAAAATTATATATTAATTCCTAAAGAACCAATTTCTCCAATTATATGTTAAATAAAGAACAAAAGAACCAAACAAAACCAACAAAATAAGAACCAAAATGTAAGAATCTCTCCGGAAAAACAACCAAAACAAACTTTGTACGATCTTTGTATAAAACAAATTCTAATTGCAATTATATATTAAAAGAAACTTAAATATAATTTTTTTGAAATATAAATTACAAAAAAGAAATTATGTACTTACATTGTTGCCTTTCAAAGTTTTAGTATGCCCTGCATAGGAGGCGGCAATGCATACTACATTTGAGCCAATGGGTGGAGTCTTTTCAATCATTCTTTCTTCTATCCGAAAGGATAAAAATAAAAAAATAAATAAAAAACAATCAAGAACATTAGAATAACTGTTAGAAGAATCTTCTACTGGCAAAAAAATGAGTTGATTGCATCACCTTGTTTACTTTCTTCATGATCATCATATATACCTAGTTCTTCAACGGATTATCCTTCCCATGATCATTATCAACTTCTGCGTAATTTTGTCTCATCATCGTGAATACGCCCGTGATGATTACTTTATGAGAAGTCCAATGATTCTGTAATAGAGAAATTAGAAAAAAAAAATTTGTTCTATTCATCAGAAAAAAAAAAGAAAAGAAAATTTCATGAAGGTTTTTATATTCATAACCCGAATTGATTTAAAGATTGCGTTTTGAAGTTGATAAACAAAAAAACAAATCAATCTCATTACAAATTATTAATAGCATAATATGTCAAGAATATTTCAAAACGTGTAGAAAAGATTTTTATTTTTTTTTTAATAACATGTTGCTAACACTAATGTTAGAATCCTCTGATATCTTGGTCGGATCTTTTGGACATACCTAGTATTATTGTCATTCCATTGATCAAAATTGAAAAGAGCAATCTTCAAGACATCATTATATTTCCATATTCTTCATCATCACCAAATTTGGGATCCCTGTCAAGGCTGCTATTCCGCGGATTCAAGTTCAGAATCGGTGATTTGGAATATGCCATCTCATGTTGTCCGCAAATTGGATTGGCCTTCGCCATCGCCGTGAGATTCAGATCGTCCTCTGCCAAACAACAAAAATTCAATTGTGCTAGGAGCGGATTAATAGATCTGACAGACTATCAAAACTTTAGATCCGCTTCGGGTTGACCTTAATGAAACACCAAATCAACCACCAAATCATCTTTCTCATAATCCTCTTTATCCTCTGGCACCATCGCAACACACGAAAGCTCATCCCGGATCCCCGTCTTTGGCATAGCCATCATGGGCAATACCATATGTGTTTTTTTTCTTCGAATTTTGAAAGCTATCAACGTCTTTAACATCCCAGATTCCTGGTCTTTAACATCTTTTTGTTCCTGCTTTTTAGCTTCATTTTGGCTTATAATTGGCAATGGAAATATTTTTTGAATTTTGATTTTTCTAATTGAATAGAAAGATAATATGGAAAGAATTTGTATTGTCTTTCAGAAGCTATTCATCCAGGATTTGAGAATTGATTTTGTGAAAAGATAACTGAGAGTGATTTTGGGATTAGATGCCAAATTCAAAATATGGATTTGAAACATTCACGAATGAAAGAGATAAGGGTTCCAGAATTAAAGATGAACATTTATTTTTACAGAATGTAAATCCCTTAAATTGGGGAGTATTTAACGTGATCATTTTGTATTTTACAGAATTTTGGAATCTTTTTTTTTTTTGATAAACATATGACACGTGGCATCATTCTTTTGCAAAAAGAAGTATTTTCTTTTGTTCAGGCGGGAAAAAAACTTATATGAAATTGACACGTGTCTTAAGTGTCATTTGCTTTCATGAAGTGTAAAGGGATTTTTTTTACACAATATCAATTTAGCTCAATTTTTCTTTCGTTTATCATGTGTTAAATGTGTTCCCAAGGAATTTTAATCCTAATTCCGTCATTATTACGATATATGGCTAATAACATCATGTTTTAACCATGGTTTTGTCCTAATGGAGGATTCTTGAACCAAAATAAACCGTCCAAACCTTGTGCAGCCAAAGAAGTTAAACAATCCAGTACAAAATCCGCATCCTGAAACTCGTATAATTTGAACCTCTCACCCACGGGCCAAAATGGTTATAGCTCCAAATGTTGGCTAAACTCCTTCAGTATGGCCCTTTTTGTATCCTTCGTATTCATCCTTTTAGCGCCAAAATGTTCAAAAGGAGATGATCAACTACATTAATAAACTTATTTCTAATATACAGGTACCATTTTCAAAAAAAAAACTACATTAATAAACTCTGCCGGAAACACAATCACCAACCTTTTGCAAAGGCTGCTTCGACAATGGATTTTAAAAGAAGATGTTCAATATGCCTTCAGCAGAATGCCTTGTTCCATTGGAAAAAATAAAATGACCAAATGGTTTAGACTTTAGACCTGGCGTTTCGGCCATCGTTTTCAGCCTTTTAGCATTTCGGCCTCCCATTAATCGACCGCCTTTCACTCAAAATCACCTGGCTAGTTTTTGCATTGATTGCTTAAGTCAATAAGCCAAAGGAAGAGTGCAAAGGAGCTTGCGGGTTTATCACCCGGCTGCGCTCAGAATGTAGCTCTCTCGTTACTGCTCGATTTAACCGACTGCGGAAGAAGCAACGGAGCCACTAGAGCGTTTCGGATTAATTGTACGATATGCTCACTAACATATGCCAACAGCGCGCGCAGGGTAATTTCAAAACCGCCCGCCAACTCTACGGCTTTTTTCGTAATCAGCAATCTTCGAGCGCTGTGTAAAAGCTTTGAGTGAATATCAGCACTGTACGCAGATATTGGGACTTGTATTGTACGCTAAGGCTGCAGCGGGCGTTTGGCCACATTACTAGTTTAAAATTTACAATTGTTCTTACTTCCTCACTTTTTAGTCAATGTATGGTAATCAGATTTTTTGGTTAAAAGTTTCTCTGTCTTTCATTATTGTCATAATGATCGAATCACCAAAGCAAACTGTCCTCCGTGAATGATGATTTGCAAGAACAATCCGGGGACCACCGGCTTACGCCTTGCCAATCAGCGACAATAAATGAGAAGATGAATAGACTTAGCATCATTTTTCTGCTCTTGATCGACGCTTAATTACATATCTAGAATGCAAATGGATGGCAGTTTGATGCAAAAGAATCAGCTCTTAATCAATTATCACATCACGCCGCCATCACATTCGCTTTCCAGATGGCAAGACATCTAAAATCGTGCACCATGTCAAGCATAATAGAAACACGCATCACGTGCGCGCACAAATGAGTGGCACCATAAACGTCCTGGCACATACAGTGTCAAAGTAGAGCATTAAAGATGTTTGTGCTTCAATTCTTCATCCCCATATAGCTGAAGCTTACGGAATCACTGTTTTAGTCTACAGAAACGGTATCCAGCTAACTATTCTGGTTAACATGCTTTTGCTAGGACATGTTCAATTTCGTGAAGACAACTAAAAGGAGCCATTCGAAGAGCTTAAGAATCGGAAATGACCATGTGATATCATTGTTTCCTTCTCTTCACAATTTCAGAAGCCCAAGCTTTACCAACATCTGTTTGGAACTTACCTGTGAAATAAACATTGACAAGTGAAAATGGACATGCACATGGTAAGTAAATGAACTTTAAACTTCATGGAAATCTGGCAAGAGACTGCAACACGTGCAATGTGAGAATTGCTAGTACATCTACGTAAATTTCCATCAAATACAAGCATCAACAAATTGTTTAAGAGCTGTATTTGTTTATGAACTAAACCAATAATGGAAAGCGAAAAATTTAGGGGGGAGGGGAAGATACATGGACTCAACAAATAAAAATAGCAAATCATCGCTGAACAGAATACAGCAAAGCAAATATGAAGGAACTGGCTTTGGTCTTTACTAGTATGAGAGCAAACAAAATACCTGCTGTTGACTGGAAAAACTCATCCAAATTCTTTCCTTGCTCTGCAAAATTAATGAGGTATAAGAATTCATTAACAGAGACAACATGCTCCAAAGAGCCCATTTTTACCACAGACAAATATAATTAGCAATAGATAAAATTATGAAAAGAGAGAAATTGCAAAATCATCAGAAAATTAGAGCCATGCTTGTTATTTGAGATCAGGAACACAGAGCTCCTAATCCAAAGAGGAAAGTTCTATCTCCAGCGGGATGTCGCTTTACTACATCTATCATCTTGTGTAGAACTCATGAGAAATGTAGCCACCAGATGAAATTTAGATGAAATATTTCCCCTACTAATAATAAAACTGAACAAATAAATGACTTTGTAGGGCTACAGAATTCCACTTCATTATTGTTAATTGATTTGCATAATTCTTCTACTGACTTAACATAGTTCCCAATCATTCACTTTCCCACCCAGTCTCAAAAGAGTTTTTCTCCAAGGATAGGATGCTTAAGAAAATAGCACCAAAGCAACGCATAGGAGACTTACCATTTTCATATTCCAAAGCTTGAAGAATCATTTCCACCTAAAAATATAATTAGTTCATTAGACCATTGCAAAAATGCATAAAAGGATGATGTATGCACCAAATTTCTGAACGTAACAGACACGTGATATGCAAATAGACAGAGAGACATAAAGCGAATGGTCATGTCGGAGAAGGGTGAAAAATCAAGAATAAATCCAACTGCACATCTGTGTGCCAAAATTTTAGGCCACCAATGAGGCAAAATCAATAATAAAAACAGCAGTTCCAAAATTTACCAATATTCGAAACAATATGTCTACCATTCTTCCTGTCTTAATAAAGCTACTCCAACATTCAGATTTTTTGAAAAAGAGTCTTGACTTACCTTATCAAGGTCCTTGACAATCTTAGCTTCAAGAGAAGTGCTATCTTCATACTCATTCCACAAATCAGTTATCTCCTTAGCTGTAAACATAAATAACGAAATCTCACATTTAGAGTTTTCATCATTTAACTTTCAAGAAGCTAAACCAAAAGAAAAGGATTAAAAAAAATGATACCACGTGGACCTCCACCAAGTAGTTTGCCCATGTGCTCCAAGGCCTCACGTTCTAATCGATGCTTTTCAATATTGGAAATACCGTCTAACGGAGTAATATCACCTACAATAGCTATTCACCAAAAAGGAATCAAATTGAGTGACAGAGAGCAGCAAGGACATCAAATAAAGAATAAACTAATTAATATATAGCAGTAAGATATGATATGAAACATGATCATCGTGAAAGCCAATTTTGATATGAGTTTTGAAAGCCTTTCACATGTCATCATACACCAAAGCTTTATATGTTAGGTAACTTTTAGACCCCTGAGCAAATTGAATCTTTTAAGTTCTAAGAACTTTTATGATCTTTTACGGAAACAATTGAAGGTTACACATTAGTTGGGCTCAAGATTATACTTTTGTTTAAGGAATATCCCCTCAAGTAAAGCTCTCATGAATTTAACCTCACAGAGCCACTTCCTTTACAGAGTAGACCAAAGAGTAACACATATATCACTAAAATGAAAAAAGGTACAGTCTAGCATGCAGCTTCTCAAGTTTCCAATATATCCGAGATATAACATATAACTAAGATATAAAACATATATGAAAAAGGACAGGCATAAGCATTCACTCTAACCTTCAGCGATATCATGCACAATTGCCATTTTTATACACCTGAACACAAAGAAAACAAAGCATCCCAAAATATATCTCAAATCTGAATCTTGAATAAAAGCAAAATAGAAGTTAAGATGAGATGGACATACTTGTCTCGACTGACACCAGGAACATCAGGAGCAACGAGGGCCATGATTCCCATCCGATACATGTGATCGGCTATTGATTCTGGATTCTCCACCTCTTTCCTCACCCATCCGGTTCTCTTAGTAGTCTACTTAACAGTTCATCGAATTCATCATTAGCTAAAAAAAAAAAAAAATCAGAATGCCAAAGACACTAAAGCACGGTTCCGCACTTTTAAAATTACATGAAAACTTGACAAATAGCACGATAATATAATAGTGCAAGCAGATTAGCAACTCTAATGTAGCACCATTCATACACAAAAAGCATGGGACAATTAGGTTTTGGGCACCATTCAGCATCATAATGTGATGAGTACATATTTACAAGTTCAGTGTCAGATAGTAACAGCCAATTAACACTCTAATTAATACAGCTGCGGTGGCACTCACTTGAAGTAACAGACTCATTTTCTACTAATAGATGCAATTTCATTACAAATTTCATATTATACCGGGAAAAAATGGACACAGACGTCAACCCCATACTGGAATAAACTTCAAATTCAGTTCAAGGAACTGTCAGTGAAGGAGTCTCCACCAAAGGCATTCGTATACAGATTCCTTATACATAACTCACAGAGTTAGCACAAGCTAAGGAAAGTAGCCTGAACCGGAGTAGTTAACCAAAGGGTGGAGAAAAAAAACACATAAATTTTTCAGCCTAATTTCTTAGAGTTGAAAAGGCTGTAGTAAGAGGTGATAATGAGCAAGAGAATTGGGCAAGGAAAATTACCTTGAGGCGGTGGCAGAGAGTGAGGAAATCAACGGCGGAGGAAGCGGAACGAGATGGGGATGACGGTGGAGAAGAAGAAGCAGAGCCTTGGGAGGTAGCCATCGGAGGAATCAATCTACTGAAGAAGAAGAAGAGGAATTATCAGAGTGGAGAAGTAGAAAAACACTCTTGGGGATATTGAGAATTTTGGACTCACGTTTCTGGATTTCAAATCTTTCCATCAATCCGTCCTCGGGCTCAGGCCCTTCTCCTCTCTTTATTGCAACTATAAATAATTTTGGGTTGCGAAGGTATCTATTCAAATTGGGCCGACTGTTTTCTTGTTGCTATAAACATTTGGGCTTGTGTTGCGCATCGTTTCGTTTTTTCAATACTGAACGAATGAGAAGACATATGTCCCAGAGCGACGCATGTCCCTTCTGTGCCAAGCCGGAAACATTGCTGCATCTGTTTCGTGATTGCCCAAGAACCCGACAAATTTGGAGCCTCCTTAACCCGAAGGGGATTACAGCAACACCCGCGAACTAAGCTGCACAATTCAGGCAGCAACAGCAGAAATTACCAGATAGAATCGACTCCAACAACGAATGAAGCCCCCCACTGAGTATTCAGCCCGAAGGAAAATCCGATTGGAACCCCCCACCCTGGGAATGGGTGCGCCTTAACACCGATGGAGCAGTGGCGACGTCACCCAGAAAAGCAGCGGCACGGGGCCTAATTCGCAACTACGAAGGAAAACGGCTAATAGGCTTTACGGCCGAAGTAGGCGGAGATTTGAACTATCTTTTTTGGACTCCAAATAGCATTGATATTGGGCCTTAAAATGTCCAATTTCAATTGGACTCATTACAGGCAGTAAAACTGATCAATGAAGACCACAGCAGCCCGGCTGCCAGTAATGTTTTGTACAGAGTTAAAAAACTTCTAGCTTTTGAGTGGGTTGTAGAAACTACCCACGTTAGACGCCTAGCAACAAACCGGCCGATTCCTTAGCTAAGCTATGATTATCCCACACTTCAGAACTACATATTTTGGCACACCCTCCAGAGTCAATTCTAGAACATATTGTCGAGAATTTCCCTAGTTCAACTCTTCATTGAAGAGTTCCTTTTGTACACTAAGCTACGGCTTCCTCAGTATATATATGAAAAAAAAGTTTGTTTTAGTAATATAATAAATTAAATAATTATTAAGTTTGCTATACAGCTAGAATATTATTATTTTCATTTCACACAACGATCGAAGTGCAAATTTGTAACAAATTCTAAGTTATTGGAATTAGGCAGGTAACGGCAACAGGCAGAGAGGTGTAGAGGAGAAATCCTCTTAGGCTCCATTTGGTTGGATTGAATTAGGATTGAATTGGAATTACAATTAAAAATGAGATATTAGGATTGTAATTCAATCATAATTCCTTTGTTTGGGAGATCTTAAGAATTGAGTATAATTAAGATTTTAATACCAATTCTTGCGTTTGGATGTTTAGGAATTTAGATAGTTATAGAATTGAGTATATCTGGCCATTTGTTCGGTTTGGCCTATTTTGATCTCTGGCCAGTCACGGTCATAGTGAGGAATATGTTGGGCTTGCATATTTTTGAGCAACGGACATTGACGTCCTGAGACTCATTTTCCCAACCTGCGTTTCCCTGAACCCCAAACAAATATTTTGATGGCAACTTTAAAACTAATTTCAAAGCCAAATGAAAATCGGTTGAAAGATTCGTAAAGTTTTGGCGCAAACTTTGATAAACAAAGAACTTTTCTGCAGCAAGAAACAGATCTAAATGACACCATATCATGGAAAATAAGGCTACACCAAAACAGTCTTCAAAATGAAAACTGGAATTTTGCCGAAATCGAAAAGCTAAGCATACTAATCTGAAAATCTTGCATAATTCACCCATATAACTTTAACTTGAATAAATCCAGACTAAAATAACACTATCACCATTAATTACCCTTGTGGAGCTGCACCATAAGCCACCGTTGTTTCATTTCAACTGTTGACAACCCAACAAACGTGTCATATAATCTATGATTGTCCATCATCAAATCTAGGGCTTTGAAGGTTTGCATCTCGTCCAAGGAGACTACCTTCAATGCTTCAAGTATATCTTCCGGTGTAGCTTTTTTTGTAGCAACCAATATTTGTCCATCATCATATTCTTCGCCTCTTTCTTGCGTTATCCTCGTCATCATTACAGGAGAGTTGATAATCCATGTAATCTAATTATTAACCAATAAATAAGCACAACTATTGACTTTTCTAAAGCCATGTAAATGATGCAAAATACATCAAAAGATTCTCTAACAGAATTGCTACAAAAAGCAAAAAGTCTACCATTACAGAGGAGACAATGAAAGACAGGAAAATCACAAACGTAATACAAACCAACAATTAAAACCTGAATTTAGACGTAAGACGAGCCCACATTTAATATTTCCTATTAACGTAAACAATTTACTGATTAAACCTCAGCAAGCAATATAGCTTTTCATACATTACCATCAAGTAAAAAATATCCAAGCAACTATGGAATCACAATTAGAGTTTTATTACTACTGATCATTTGCCTTTCAACACTTGCTTATGGAGATGTTCTTCCTGCTAATGAAGGTACATTTATTGACTTGAGGGCTACTACAAAAATGATGTTTTTGATGCTAATTTTGCGCACCTCACTATTTGTTTTAGCAAACCATTAAAACAACATTAAAGTACAATAAACAGAGAGGGATTTTATCAAAAGACTTCAGAGAAAAAGGTCCAAAAGTCAAGCAAAACAAGCCTCCCAAAACAGGAGCTTAAACCAGATTTTCTGACAAAAAGTTAAATGATTTCCAGCGACTAATAAGCCAGATTCAAACTCAATTTTTGGACAAATCATAAATCCATTTGACAATCCAAGAAGACTGCGTTAAACTACACTCAAAGTTGAAGAGTTTTCCAAAAAGAAATTCTGAAAAAGAATCAAAGAGCAAAGAGAAATAGGCATGTCAACAGTAGGGTTCTGTTCAGGTTTTTCTGCATTTTTCAGCAAGGATAATGTCATCTTCAAATCGAGTTTCTGGGCAAACCACAACTCCGATTTGCATTCCATAAAAACTGAATTAAACCATGTTAAATGAAGATGATTTTCATATAAAGAGATCCTAAAAAGAAGCTAAGGAGCTGGGAGAAAAAGGGCTGACAACAGTGGGTTGCAGTTCTGATTTTTCTGCACTATTAAAATATAATCAGCAATCTACGTTGTTGAACCCACATTTTAAAAGATTTGCAAGGTCATTTGGTGAAACATGCAAACTGAAACAAACCTTACTAACCTAGGAAGAATCTGGTATGAAATCATGGAGAGAAAGAAACTTACAAGATGACATTTGAGCGGTTCATTCAAACAACTTAAATCTGGATTTTTTAACTCCGTATAACCGAACTCTTTAAACTCATTCATTCTCTTTATTTTAGTTCAAGTCTGCGTTTATATCTTCAGACCATCAACAATCATTTACATGCTCCTTACAACAACCTTTAGCAGCTACATTATTTTCAAAAGGTACCTTTCTTTCTTCATGATGCACTTTTGCAAAATGAACAAGAAAGATTTTCAAAATTACAATCAATGCCCTTAACTGAACAGGAATGCTGCAAGAATAAATGTCAACATACCTCAATGAAAGTTCCCAAATACTCCAGAACGGCAGGAATCTTGGCTTCCGCAGTAAAACACATTCAGACGTTAAAAAAACAAAAGGGAACAAGAAATAAAAATGTATAACATAGCTGAACCCAAAGTTAGAAGAGTTGGCGTCTACGTATGTGTATGGACAAGAGAAAAATAGCTAAAGAAAAACAGAAGCCTGAATCATTCTTACCTTATTAATGAGATTCTTCTCTGAAAACTTAAGTGATTCAGCTTCTTCTTTAGATTTGCATGCCTTAATTTTGCTCTTAATCACCTCTAACTACAGCATAGGAAAATACATAAATAGATTCCTCTTCAAACTTTATAAATGATTAAGCAGCAATAACGACCGTTAAACTGCAAAACTAATTAAGCATATGAAAGGAAGAAGTTCATAGTCAAATTTTAGTACTGGTTAGTTCAGCTCAATAAGCGAAAATGGCAAGAAAGCAATTCAAGCTGCGTTTAAAACCAAAAAATCTACCAGAAAGACAGAAACAACCAGCAAAGGCGTTATATTTGATCATCTCCTATTAATAGCTTAAGTATATAAGATGTGTTTTTTTTTTTTGAGGGAAAGTATATAAGATGTTAAATATTCATCTCCCTCACATTCAAATACAGTTGGGCACCTATCTCCTAGTCTCTTGTGTTTGATCAAATAAAAAGAAAGATATAGTTTAAGCTGAAATTTAGAACATGATGATCTTTTATTTCATCAAATCTAAGAATACAAAACCATTCCACAAACTATGCAGGAGAATTGATGGTAGCAGATTCCTAGAACGTGCATAAATTACACTCATCACTACCCCAAGAAAAATTAGAGGAATCATTCTCTGTACATTAAAATGTGCTAAAGTAAAAGCCACCGAACTCATTAAAACAGTACACCAAACAGGCATATACTTACTCAGGGAAGGTAGAAGAAAACCCCGGAACACTATTTCTTCCCATAAGGGAGCACACACTACGAGTATTAAAGCGTATAACCCCATCGCTACTGGAAAAGCACTACAAGTACCTAACTTATCCAATTCCAGACGAGATTCCATATAAACCCTCAAACAGGTACGAGATTCAATAAAACCCAGAAACATGGACTTTAAGCCAAACCCACCACATCTAATCAAAATTCAGTAGAAAACAAGCCTTAAAACGAGGTTATTCATCGAAGAAAAACGATTGCAATTATTGAAAGACCAAAAACAAAATAGATCCGGAAGAACATCGACTCATCAAATAAGGTACAAAAATCAAATATTCGGACAACCCAAACTTCAAGCAGAGCCACCATGAAACAGACGGAAATTCTGTTACTTTACCTGCTCAAAATCGATAGAAAACTAAAGAGCCCTGCAAGCCGGCGATTTCGGACGGGCTTTGACATGGGAGGAAAAAAGGAAGAAAGAAAATAAAGAAACGGTAAATGTGCGAAAGAGACGTCAATTTTATCCGAACCCGAAAAAAATAAGTTGACCCGGATTTATGACCCGCGATTTTTTTAAAAGACCCTCGAATTTGAATTGCAATTATTTGCTCCCACAAAAGAATTGAAAATAAAGAATTGAGCCCCCATTATGAATTATAATTCTAATTCTGGAAGTCTATTTTTATCAGCCAAACACAAGAATTGAAATTGAAGGTCTCCAATTCCAATTTTTGGGTCCAATTCAATCCAACCAAACAGAGCCTTATCGATTTTTCTTCACTTCAAACGTGGCTGCTTCAGATCTTCAATTTTTGTTCCATTGGGGGAATTTTCTAACTGAAAAAAAAAAAAACTAAATAGCAATATAAATATCGAAACTCAATATGGACTACAACAGAAAGATTAAAATTTTAAATAACACCATATCTAAAATTGAATAGAATGAGTTATACCTGCAGGCATAAGTTGTCTACATTAAAACCATTAAAGAAGGATCATGGGTTTTTGCATTTTAATTTCAAATTGCATTTTGTCTTGTTCAACATCAAAATCATGATTTTAGCTAACTATCCTCAATGGAGACACACCCGATAACAATAGATCTGAAAGGTACTAACAATACAAAAGTCATTTCCTGGGGACTATTTTTTTGTGCATGCATGGCTGAATACAACGTCAAAATATTAATTCGAAACCAAAAATCGAATTAATAGTGGAGTCCCGATCTTCTAATGACAGTTCTTATTCTCTTTTTTCCAGGAGTACAATAAAAAAAAATCAAGAACATATATAATTAAGATCTTGGGGGAGGTGAAAGATGCTGGTTTCTCTTATCAATAATTTCACAACTGTGAAAAACCCTGTGACTGTTCCTCTTAATAACTTTAGCATCTTTATGAACACCCGGCAATCCGATAAAAACCTTCACAATCGCATCGTGACATTTAAGCCCGATTCTGACTAACTGATGACAACACTTGGCATCAATGTTGACTTCTTTCTTCTTATCAGGGTTGTACAAAGCCGCCACGATTTCGTCGGCGCAATCGTTGCTAATGTGTTTAGTGCATTCCTCCACGAATTCTTTCAACTTTTTGGGTATGTGTTTTATGTTTTTGTCGTCGGGGGAGTTGTCAGGCGAGTCTGCCGGCTCCGGAGGGGGTGATGAATGGCCGTGGTTGTGGCCGTGGTGGCCATGGTGTTTCTTGAAAGAGGTTTCCAATGTCGGTGATATTTGAGTATCGTCGACGTCCACGTCGACTTGGGCAAGTCCGGGTCGAATCATGACGGCCATGGCAATGATTAAGAAGGCTAAAATTAGGGAGGGATTTCTTTGTTTGGTCGACATTTTTAAGGTTTAATGAAGCTTTTCCTATCGACTTGGGAAGGATGGAATGAAGAAATGTGGATTTTTATAAGGATGTTGATCAAGGCGTTTTTAAAATTAGGGAATTAATGTCATATTCACTTTTGCGTTCATTAAATTTATTTTGTTGCACCTTGCGTAATGTGAAGTAATTAATTTCAATACAGTTATTTGTATGCTCCAAATTTAAGTAACTGACGAGAAAAAAGAAATTAATTTGCTGTATTACTTCTCATTTCGTATACTATGTACATGAGATATTTTCTCTAATTCACAAAAATAGTCTAAACTATAAATTATAAATCATACTTTTTTATCTGTTCCTTAAGCTTAATCCATCATTAAGTTAAGATATAAGTATTGAATACTCATTCCATCCTAGAACAATTGTCCAGTTTGATTTTTATTTTTAATACAAATTGTACAAAAATCCAAATAAAACAATAATTTTAGAACAAAATATAGGTACCAAGAAGGTATTGTAAAAGTTCGGTTCCCGTGCTTTGTCTCGCTCGCGTCGATGAGTCAGTATTCTGAGTTACTCAACGTAGTCTAGTTGGGTGAGAAACACTTTCCTTTTAATAAATATAGATCGTCTAAATCCCTTCAAACATTCTTAAGGATACATATGAAAATATAAATATGTACCGCGTCGGAAAAACAGGGCGATGGAGAGCAATCGATTGTTTTGTTTATAAATGATGATTCATTCATTATTCGTGGCTCAATTCGATCACGTACTTCATTAGAAACAGTGAAATCGTGCATGCGCCTATCAAATAAATATATTGCATTATACATTCTACTAATTAGTTGGTTTATGCTGATACAAAATGCACACGGGTTATACTTACAATTAATCCTTGATGTTAAGTCTAACTTTATATTGGGGTTTTTCTGTGGTAGATGTAAGTCTAACTTTTCATTGTAATGTTTGTATTTCTGTGGTCGTAATCATTTTAGGAAAAATTCTTGACGTAGTCAGAGGCGGAGGGGAGAGCCTGCCTTTAAATATTTACAAGGAAGTCAAAAATAAATAAATAAATATACTTTACCTATAATTTTTTAAAGAAAATTATTATATTTTATCCCTCCTTACAACAATTCCTGACTCCACCACTGGACGTTGTAAGTTTTGATATTCGTATAAGGCGTAAAACTTGCAAAATTCTCTTCAAGGGTTTAAAATTGATCTTTTGTGTTTTCACATATTGTTAATTCTTTTTCCCTTAACTACACGTTAATTTTTGAATAACTTTAAACAAATAAGATTTATTTTCTCTTTTAAACTCGTTCAGATGCTCCATTGAAGAACCTTAAGTTTTATTTTCAAGAGAGGCTTCAAATCGAGTTAAGAATGAATTTTTCTCTTTGAGAACTCAATCATTAATTATTCTTAAGTACGGTAAGCGAGATCCTTATTTTGAATTAGAGGAATTTTTAACCCAAAAATTATATATATATATATATAGAGGAAGTAAAATATATAAAATATGACTCTTTCTTGAAACCTCAACAGAAGAAAATGCCATGAAACAGAGTTTGGAAGGGTTGAAGTACAATTTATGTCTATCACCTTTGACGTTCTTCGATATCAATTAAGATTACTACCCTTCAGACAGGAAAATTAAATTAAGGATACTACACAAATAATTCTTCTCCATTTGCAACTATAATAGCTGGGCTATGTCACTGGACGTTTATTGAAATTATCTTTTTCCTTTTTAAATATATATTACGCACTCGGCATCAAAACAAGACCTAACTAATTATAATTGAGCCTTCTTATGGGTTTTTTTGGTTGTTTCTGATTAGAGCTGCTACATTAAAATCACTTTTCTAAAAACGATATATAACATGTTTTTGGTTTAAGCATAAAAATAGCATTGCGTACTTATTTGCTAAGTTTGCTAGACAGTACAATTAATAATTATTGTTTAATATCAGTACGATTTTCTACTCCTAGATTAGAATTTATTTGAGACGACATAAGCTAGAGGGGCGGTTCACGAATCAATAATAATAATTATGAGGATAATAGTAGTAGATTAAGTACAAAATAATTGATTAATCAACTAAAAAGACCTACCAAGAAACTGTCGGTGGGATGCAAATGAAGGCTGTCTTATATTTATAATCTCAGTACGTACTTTTAGTCAAAATTATGTTTGGTTATGGGCATAATTAGGTTTCGACCATGCGCTGTTTGCTTCATCATTACTTTATTTTATTTTTCTCTCCCAAAAGTTTTAATCAATTAGGTGCCGCATTTATCAATGGTTAGTTGAATAAAATAATTGTTGATAATGACCCTATGGAGTATACAAATCTCACTACTACACCTAGTGAAACAAGCCAAATTAATAGATAGTGTAACCCCACTAAGATTGAAAAAAATAGTTGTACTACGAAAAATCTTAGAGACAATTTGATTGTTTGGTCTAGTTGATGTATTTTACTCAATAAATAATAGAATACATATCATACCAGGACAAACTTGCTAATGACAAGTCCTAGATATAACATGATGTTGTATCTCCTTTCATCAATGTTGTATTGTTGTGGATTTCCATTAGACAAAAGGGAATGTGTTAATTTACGAAACGATAATACCATCTATTGATATAATTTAATGTAAAATGTTATAAGTGATATGATTGGAATTCTGCTACGTTAATATACCACATATAGTTGCACAATTATTTAGATAGCATAATACGAATACAATACAATATTTTTATTTGACAGTCTTTTAAAACTTATTACCATCAGCCATAGTGTAATTACCGTTATCAATCATTCCCTTTTGATGAATGACTAAAGTAAACAAACACTTCTGTTGTAGCTACCATAGTCAAAAGAACTAAACGGGATTCTCTATTGAGTACGAACGGATATAAGATTGGAATTGATAAGTAAATTAGTATTAGAATATAATTTAAGTTATCTTGGTTTAGGCATATCAAAACACTGTTTTAAAATTTTTGCAAAAGAGACTCTTCAATAAAATATGGAGAGACGATTAAATTTATACATCAAGGGCCAATCGAAGTAGCCAAAAATCTACGATGAGTGTCGGCAAGAAAGAGCCAAATTAAAGACTGAGAAAGATGAAAGAAGCTCTTCTTCAATGAACCATCACTCCAAAGGACCAACAAAATTATAGTTTCAAATTCTTATAGTACTTCAATAATAATAATAATAATAATAATAATAAATAAATGAGAAAAAGAAAGCCTTACAGTTGGACCCTTAGATGTGACACTAGCCCAAGTAATCAACCAATCCAACGGCTACGAATAGAAAAAGGACATCAAACTCACATGGTGTAGGCCCGGTGTCCATATACCCTTCTTCCAGGGTATCTTTTTTCTATTCTTAAACTTCCTATGCTGAGCTGGGTAGTGCGTATTGGCTGAATACATTTTCTCTAAGCTTAGCTGTCATTTAAACTTTAATGTGAGTTTCTTTTTCTCTAAAAATAAATGTTAAAAATACATTATCAAAAATTTCTGTGTCCCACTTAGAAAATTCTTTATGACCTAAACTCCATTGACAAAAGGAATTCTCCAATTATTAGACAAACTAACACGCTACGCTACCTTTTAATAGAAAAAAAAAAAAAAAGAGAGAGAAAGATTTTTAGTTAAAGAATTTTCTATGAAATTAATGTTGATTGATTACCTTAATAACATTAGTATAATCTTCTGTTAGCATCGAAATTCTATCATTTTATCCCCGTACACTATATTTATATTATGAATACTGATCAGTGATTAGTATATTCCTAGCTAGGTTCTACATGGTTTAAAAAAAAACTTATTTTTCAGAATAATGACTTCGAACACCATCTGCTTAATATACCCAAAAAAAAAAAAAACCCTTATTCTTGCGTCTAAAGTAAAAGTCTAGTTATACGATTAATAACGTTAAATTATCAAATGCTAAATCGTAGAAATGCGGATTTCGGCGCATAATCTGACCTCCCCGAAAGATTTTCTTTATTAACCAACTTGAATATATCAACTGTTAACTAACTAGCTGCGTAATTCTACGGTTATACCTCTCTTTCATAACCCAAACTAATCAGTAGGAAAAAAAAAAAATCGACCTACAATTTAGCGAAGTCTCGTAATTTTGGGGTAGTTTCGGATTTAGGATGCTTTTTATTCTCCAAATAAATGCACCTAAAAGATGAAGAAGTCGTATAGTCGCAACTATTCATAGTAAAAATAAGTTCTAGTGAGATATGGAAATTGAACACACCTGTATTATCTCATTTTTAGCCTTGTACACAGAATTGTGTTTTCTAGTGTAATAAGTTTATTAAAGCCAAAACAAAAAAAAAAAAAAAAAAACTGGTGCAAAGTAATTAAAATAGCCAAAGCGTGGGTGGAGCTGCAAATTGCAAAAGAAAAATTTAACCACTTTTGGGAAGTGTGCCATGATCGGAAAGTAAATTAGCAATATCATTCAAGAATAGTGAAACAGAAGACAGCCAATGTAAGTCAGTGAAATGGTAAAAATGAGCTTTGATTTGATAATTCGATATCCTTTACAAACACAAAAGTAGAAGTAAAACTCTAAAAAAAAAAGTGAGGAAAAAAAGGAGTCAATCTTCATCACACTCCTTCACACATCCTCATCCTCAAGAAAAGAATATATCTATCCCTTCTTCTTTTCTTTTTTTCTTTTTTTTTTCCTTTTTCTTTTTTTTTCCCATTTTTGAGAAGATTACAAGGAATTTCTACCCTCCATTCCTTTCATGTTTATCGTGAAAAAGAAAAAAGTAAATCTAAAATACAGTGAAAAAATTTCAATTAAAAGAAAAGGTAAAAAAAAAAAAAAATGATTACTCCTGTCATAGCTTTACAGACTTGCTGCCTTGATTGTAGCCGTAATATGCGAGGTACCACTTGACGAATTTCTTCAACCCGGTTTGCAAATCGGTTGTGGGTTTATACCCGAGTTCTCTTCGGGCAAAGGTGATGTTGGCGTGGGTGAACGGAACGTCGCCGTTTCCGGGCATGTCCAAGAAGTTCTTCTTCGCCTTCACCTTCAGATGTCTCTCCAGTATCCCTACCATCATCGGAACCGTCACCGGCGACGTGTTGCCCAGGTTGAAGATCCGATACTGAGCCGGGCCCCGTTTCTTCCCGCCGGATCCAGTACTCTTCTTCGCCGTGTCCAACGACGCCACACAGCCTTTGACCACATCGTCAATGTAAGTGAAATCCCGGGCCAAGTCAGCCCGATTCTTGCCCCGGTAAACTGTAATCGGCTTCCCCTGCAGAATACTCTTGGTGAAGGAGAAATACGCCATGTCGGGTCTCCCCCAAGGTCCGTACACCGTGAAGAACCTCAACCCGGTAATGCTCAACCCGTAGATGTGATTGTAAGTGTGGGTGATGGCCTCGCCGGATTTCTTCGTGGCAGCGTAGAGAGAAGCGGGTCTGTCAGTACGATCCGATTCGGAAAACGGGACGTCTTCATTCAACCCGTAAACGGAACTGGAACTGGCCCAGACAATCGCCGGCTGAGGATCGGCGGTCTTGCAGGCTTCCAGAAGGGTGACAAGGCCGGCGATGTTGCTGTGGACATAAGAATGGGGATTCTCCATCGCGTATCGGACGCCGGCCTGGGCGGCCAGATGCATCACGTGGGTAAAAGCCACAATGTCGAACAACTTGGCCAGCAATTTGGCGTCGTTCACATCACCTTCAACGATGAAAACGTTGTGGGAGTTCAAAAGGGCCTTTCTCGCTTTCTTCAACGACGGGTCGTAGTAATTGTTGAAGTTGTCGAAGCCGACGACGCCGTCTCCCCGTTTCTTCAGCGCCAGAGAGACGTGGGACCCGACGAATCCCGCGGCGCCGGTGACGAGGACGGAGAACCCGTTGGGCCGGTGGATCTGGGCGGAATTACGGACCTGTTTCTCCCAATGGATCCCACCCCAGGTCGACGAGAAATAACGGGTGCCGGAATCCATAAACGATTGGAAACTCAGATACGAAGCCGTCAGAGCAATCAAGAACAGAGCCCAAAGGAACATCGTGCTCGTGGAAGCGAAGCACCGGTGGAACTGCCGGTTCATGCCGTGCCCTCCTTTATCTTTGAACTTTCCGGGCGTCGACGGGAACAATTCCTCCTCCAACGACGGCATTCTTTCTTTATTTCTTGCTCTGTTTTTTTTTTCTTCTTCTGGGGTTGAAAAAACTTGAAACTTCAGAGCAAGCTGTAACCGTGTAAACCGTACAAATCCCTTTTCTTGAATTTACACTAAAGTATACAAACACAAACTCTTTTTTAAAAAAAGTAATTCTGGAATTTTTGGGATTTTATATCTGATTATACAGATGCAGAATGAAGGGAAAAGGCCTGCACTCTGCTAAGGAGGGAAGGAAAGAGGGGAAGAGATTATATAGTGGGCGACCACAAAGGGAGGGAGGAGACAATTCTACGCGTGAGAGCGCGTTCAAAGACAGCTGGAGAAGAAAGGGGAATTGAGAGATTATCAAACTGGAAATTTTTTGTAATTTCTTTTTTTCTTTTTCTCGCTTTTGTTCTGTCAAAATTAATAATTTGTTTTTAATTTGTTACCAATTTTTTTTTTTTTTTAATTTGATTGGGAGGTGGTGAGAAAAAGGAATATTAAAAGAAGAGGGGGGACAACAGGGAAGGACACACACAGTCAGAGACAGCCAATTATATTACGAAAAGGGGAAGAATTTTTTGAGAAACAGAGATTTGGGCATTTAGGAGATTTACTTTCTATGAATAGAAATGATGGGTAGTTTTTTCAGATAATTCAATGAATTCAGATTTATTTCACCTAATAGCTAACAGGATGTTCATCTATGGACAGTTTTTTTTTTCCGGTTAAATGTGAATATATCTATGAATAAAAAGTTAAATTAAATAATTATTTCGAAAGGTATTACTCTCTCCGTCCCAAAAAAAAAATAGACCACATTGAGTTTTTAAATTTGTACTAAAAATAATACAGAACTCAAAACTCAAAATGGACTATTTTTTTTAGGACGGATATGGTATAAATTATAATCTAAAATGTTCTTTCTTTTTTTTTTTCGAAGTTAGTTGTCTAGTTTTTTAAAAGGGACTTTTAAGTTGTACTATGTCTATATGTTAGAATCATGCCTTGCTTATAAACAGAGAAAGTCCACTGTCGTAATCAGAGAACTCCACGCATTATTCTCACAACAAAAAAAAACTTTTACACATTAAAACGGTGGTAATTTTGGCACCAAAATCTTGAAGTTAAATAGGTAGATATTAAAAACAAAAATCTTTTGGTATCAAAACTCTAATTATAGAAATGTTATTGATTCATATCATTTGTAGGATTTATTGTACATATAAACATGAATAAAAATGTAAATATTTGGTACGTTAATAGTCCACTTTATTGTAACAGAATATTAGACTATTAAATGGGACGAATGGAGTTTTTATCTTGTTGTCCTACTTATAACAAGATTTCATTTTAGGCAAAAAGATTTCATACAGGGCTTAGGCTGATTAATAAGTTTGATATATCCAATATATCAGCATTTATGATTTAAAAGGGAATCCATGGACTATATGATGGTTCATGAATTAGCATTTTGCACGTAAGCCAGAAAGACGTAAATGAAGATACTCATCCGTTACTTCGCTACTGGTTTATTCGTTTTCCCGAAAAAAGAACTAAAAATGAATTGGTTTATTACAAAATTCAAATTTGCGTATATTATTTCACTACTGCAGAGAAATGACAAAAGGTTTAAAAAAAAAAAAGAATGATTGAAACTTTGATTTTTCATCCGTCCCAATTTGTTGTGAAAACTTTCTTTAAAAAGGATGTATTATAATCCTACAAGCATCCAATACTGCGAAATCAAACCCTATAATATAGCGACCTAAGTTAAAGCTAAATGAGAAATTAGATTTAAATTTGAATAAACGTGTATTATTGGTTATTATTCATGGGAAAATTTTATAATTGTCCTAAAATAAGCGTCGTTTTAATTAAGAATGAAAGGAAACTCTTTTGATTCAAAATCATTTTTGAAAGAAAAAAATTTAAGCACTTTGAATTCTTTGCCTAAGTTCGTAGCTACTTTACTCCTAAATTTTTGTCATCCCCAGATTTTATGTATGATAAATGTGTTTAATCATCTTGAGAACAATACTAAGTTTTAGAAGATTAAAAAATCAAATGTGCATTTACTTACATCTATTGTTCGAAGGAATGTAATGGTTCGAAACATTGCCATGGATTATGAATTTTTTATGCTGTTGGTTTTGTCAAGCATGAGAGTATCGGTGATTTATACGTCTCATGATTATTATCCAGTTTGGATTTTCATTTCTAGTTCAAATTAACTAAAAGTGAAATTTCAAACTAGATAATAATTTTGGGACAGAGGGAGTATGAGGTATTTCTTGAATGGACTAAGGCGACTTTAATGGGGATTAATCGCAATACAATTATGTTAATTTTGAATTTACCTCCTGATTCATGCACTAATAAAACATATTATTTTAGCTAGGAAAAAAAAATTATTGCATTTCTTTTAAGAATTTTAGGTTGCACACTCTTTTTTTTTTTTAATAATGCTATAATTTGCGCTATGCTCAACCAAATATTATCACCGTCAATTCTTTTTATGTGATTTGATACACTTAAATATCAATATAATCGCAATTTTTTAAAATGATACTTTTAAATATCATCTGTAATTCTACACGTAATAAGCACAACTCCTATGTGCTGCAAATTGAGTAAAGTCAAACCATGATCATTTCAGATTTTGTGCATGACCAATCAATCAATTATTTTCAATAAAATAAAAGAGAAAATAAACGCAAACTCTTCAATGAACAAGGAAAATGATACTCTCACAAGCAATCTTTTTCTCTTGGCATGGAGAGAGTAGTGCAAATACTTAAATAGTTATTAAATATTTAATTCAAGAAAACTGAAAAAAATTATTTTATTAACGACGAAATTGCAAATCTATTACTCCCTCTGTCTCAAAATTATTGTCCACTTTGAGTTTTCATTTTTAGTACAATTTGTACGAAAAAATAAAACTTCAAACTGGACAATTATTATGTAACAGAGGGAGTATAAAGAAAGACCAAGAGCAATAGAATCTTCTAGGTTAGTAACTTTAAGCTAGTTAATTAGTACTTTACTGAGATGTCACACGTAGCAATATGACATTAGAAAAAGAACAAATCTACAAGAAATGGTAATACGCGGCCCTATTGAAAAGGCCAACAACGAGTAACAAAGATGTCACTAAAACAAATGGCCGGATAGAGAGTGTAGACTTGCTCAAGTCTTTAACTATATGCATTTTTTTTCTCTTTATTTTGTTATACAACATTCCATGATCAAAATTATTGTTCCGACTAACTCATATTTAAATTAGTTATCGTTAATTTTTTATAAAGTAAATTTATCTTAATAAATATTTTAATCATTAGTGTAAATTTATAATAGAATTTGATCAATTACAATTTACGTTCCGTTATTTTTATTACTTGAATCAAGTGCTTATTGGTAAAATATGTTATTTTGACTAAGTTAGTTCTTACATAACAACGTAGCCGAAACTACTAATAAATACTTTATATGGTTTGAAATTGGACAAAAAGTAGTCATTTGAGTTGTTTTTCCCTCTTGTTTTAAATAGAAAAGTTAATTGGAGAGGGAATCAGGGGCAGTGCAAACGGGACTACGGCAGTACTATGTGTACTATGATGATTGAATTAATGTGGGTTTTGGGACTATTTTAAATGGGGTCAAATAGTGAATAACTTCTTGTTTTGAAGGGGAAATCTTGTTTGTTTTTATGTGTAATGTACGTTGTAATATACGACCATTTGTTTATAAATATTCGACTGCATCAACGCTCTATCGACTGAAAGTCACGTCTCATTTGTTATTTTGTGGAGACAACTTCTTATTTATTTTTATTTTTTTACATTTATTAAAATACAATTTGTGCAACATTTCATTCGAAGTCAAATATTCTAGATTTATATAAGGTGCTCCTCACGTCATTGATTGAAAGACTACAGTGTCATGGCATATGGATAATATTAGCATTTACTATATGAGTATAGTCTAGTGCTCATTTTTAATTCACTGTAATTCCATTAGCTTTCGTATTTTGAAAGGAAAAAATTTATTAGTTGCTTATAGTTTAGATTCTAACGTGAATTAGAGGAATTAAAAAAAATATTCTTATTAATTAAAATAATTAAATTAACAAAATTTTTATTTTGACGGCAATATATAACTTAAAGTAATACTCCATCTGTCCCAAAATTGTTCAATTTAGATTTTCACTTTCAGTTCAATTCGTATTAGAAATGAAAATTAAAATTAGACAATAATTTCGGAACAGAGGAAGTATTAAGCTTGAAAAAGAGAAAAGAGTTGCAATTATTTGCCCGTTTCGAAGTGTAGGTCCTCGGTGTTCTGGAATTTATTAAGCAACAAGTTAAGCTCGTCCTCCCTAATTATTTAATCAAACAGGAACTTTCTGCGAAGTCTCGCAGTACATGTTAGACTTTAAATAGTGAAATACTTTTTAAACAAATGAGTGTTAACATTAATAAACACTTTGAAAATGTGAAACCATTACAAATATTTTATATTATTATTATTATTTTTTCAGTCACTGAATACTTGATTTTACTGAATGTTTCAGTACAGGTTTGGCTTAAATATGCATTACTTGAATTCACCTTTTTTTTTGTTTTTCTTGTTAATCCAAAAGCACGCCAAAATTCCTCTTCCTGATGGACTAATTAACTTCAAAATTTAATTATGTACCATGTTAGTGGACAATTTTATAGTCATGCCAATTAATAAAATTTTCATTATACAGTAAAGATAATATTCGTAAATAGATTTATATATATATATAATTTAAATGTGTAAAATTCTAGAACAGTCTATTTAACTTCACTTAACTCGCTATAGCATAAATCGTATAACATCTTGTCAATCAAAATAAAGAGTACTGTAGTAATGGTGCTATATACTTGTCTCCCTGGGATACTTTACAACTTCATTTAAGTAAACATCTATATAGAAATTAGAAAGTTAGAAACCAGCTTTCTGTCACCCCCTTTAAGTTATTAGAAAATTAAGTTTTAGTTTTTACAATAGTTGGAAATTACTCTCATTTTTACGTGGTTTTCTAGCCGTGATTAAAATCCCAACTACTTCAAAAGTACAGTTTTAATTTGTTAGCTCTTTCTTATCGAATGAAGTAAGTTTTGAATGTTAGACATTATCACATATCCGTTGAAAATGAATTACGAAAAGAAAAGAAAAGAAATAAAAAAAGGAGTAAATTGTTAACAATCACGTTAATTTTCTCTCTCTTTTTTTTTTTAATAAGAAACTATTTATTTTGCAAATTACAACACTAAAATTCAAATATGGACTTGTTACAACACGTAGTCTTCAGAATTCAAATTAATTATGAAAATGA